TTCTCTTCGCCCGACATATACTACGCGCCGCGGGGCAACGCGGAGACGGGGCTGCGGAGCAGGCGCGGAAAGTTCTATGTTGGGGGGGCACATTCCGCGCAAGGGACGTGTCGAGTTGGGTGGGCCCGCATGCGCACACACTGACTGGGGCCGTACGTGGAGCTCCCTGTGGGCGAGGGGGCGCCATGCGAGCCCTGGGACAACGATCCTCGCCAGGGGCACGCCGAATGGGGAAAGGCTCCCACGCGAACCCTGCCTCTGGGGCCGGAGGTGGAGCTCCCTATGTGGCCACGGTCCTCGTGAGGGGCGCGTCGAATAGGGGCAGACCGCTGGGCGAACCCTGCCACTGGGGCCGGAGGTGGAGCTCGCTATGGGGCCACCACGATCCTCGTGAGGAGTACGCCAAGTAAGGGCGGGGGACGCCAAGCGATTCCTGCCAGCTTCCCACCCACGGGGGCCGAAAAACGTTGCCGGGGTGTGCGAGGTGAAGGGCGGCATGAAAACGCCGCCACGGGGGCCATGGGTGGAGCTTCCTGTGGGGGCTCCAGGCATGGGCGGGCGAAGCAGGGGGCCGCCATGCTGTCACCCTCCCCTGGGGCCGTGGGTGCAGCTCCCTATAGTGGCTGAACCACGTGGCAGGGGCGGGCCGGGTGGACGGGAGGCCGCCGCGCGGGCACCGCCACCGGAGCTCCCTGCGTGGAGTCTGGGAAACGTGGCGGGGGCGACCAGACTTGGCGGGGGCCGCATGTGGGCGCACGCACTGAGCCGCAGGTGGAGCTCCCTGAGAGGCCCGAAAAACGTGGCGAGGGAGAGCGACAAGGGCGGGGGGGCAGATGTGCACGCCCCCACTCCTCCGGTGGTGCTCCTAAGGGGTCTGGCAAGCGTGGCAGGGGCGAGCGACATGGGCGGGGCCGCCAAAAGTGTGAGGGGTGTACCAGACTGGGCATTGTCAGGCATACGAACCCTGCCATGCGGGCCTTATGTGGAGCTCCTGTGGGGCCGCGAAACGTGAGAGGAGTATGTCAGAATGGGCGTGGGCATACGAGCCTTGCCATGTGGGCCTGCTGTGGAGCTCCCAGCAAAGCGTCTGAGGGGTAAGGCAGATGGGGCGTGGTCAGGTGTGCGAGCCCCGCCATGTGGGCCATCTGAGGAGCTCTTGTGGGGCTACGAGAGCAGGCCTACATGCCCCTGCGACGTGGGCCCTCTGTGGAGCTCCCGTGAGCCCACGAAACGTGTGGGGGACGTACCAGAACACGCGTGATCAGGCACACGAGCCCTGCCATGCGGGCCTTCTGTGGAGCTCCCTACGGGACCTCGACACGTGTCAGGGGGGCGCGGGGGGGCCAGAAGGGGCGTGGCTGGACATACGCGCGCTCTGGAGTTGGGCTCCTGTGGGGCCACGAGACGTGTGAGCGATGCGTCGAAGCACAGGCATGCGGCGGCAGAGGCAGGGAAAATGGCGGAGGGGGGTTGGAGCGGTGGGGAGGTGTACACGCGGCGCTGCAGACTCAAACAGAGGACCCCACACCACAGGATGATTGCGGGGCAGCACAAGCTTCAGCAGATGCAGACGGGAGTACAGTCGGGCTCCTGACGAAAGTAAGGAGCGCTAAACAAGAAACGAAGCCCCTTTTTGGCCCCGAAGCACATGCGTGCACGAGGAGGGCAAGGAAGGACCTAACGAACAGCGAGCCCCTACCGATCCCACAATGTTTCTGATCTCAACGCCTTGACTGTCACGGGAATTCGCTGTGCATCGTCTGGAACGTCGCGCCACCGTGCGAGGCAGGCGCTTACGGCAGGTTCGTGTCGTGCCGACCCCAGCGTTGGTTTTTGACACCGCAGGGATCGTTCAACCTTGAACGATCGGCCGCTGCCGCAACGTCCAATCGTTCAACATCGATCGATTCTGGGTCGCCGGCGGCGTTCAACGTTAAACGCCGCGGGCGGGGTCGCCGCTGGTCGACACGACGCAAACCTACCGTACAACGACTCACACGCCATCGTCTGCGCGCTCCAGGACCCCGCGCCGCCGCTGGGGCCCGAAGGAGCCCGCCCGCCGCCGCCCGCGTCTGGCATGGCATTGCGTAATGCACCCCCCCCCCCCCCAAAAAAAAAAAACAAAAAACACCCCTCCCCCCCCAAAAAAAAACAAAACAAAAAAAAAAAAACAAAAAAAAAAAAAAACAAGGATTGCAAAAAAAAACACATGATTGCAAAAAAACCCTAAGGGGGCGGCCCTAAGGGGGCCCGGCACGCACACACGCACGAAAGCAAACATCCCTAGGGACTCCTGGGCAGAGCAGAAGTGCACAGTGGCAGCTCCGAGCAGGACGGCTGGGGAAAGCGCACTCGGAGTGCACGAGAACGAAGAACGGAGGCGAGGGAAAACATGGCCGATCCCACGTATACGGCTGGTTCCACGTATGCGGCCGATCCCACGCATACGGCCGATCCCACGTATACGGCAGGGGACAGCGAGATCGATGTCCTGGTCGGGGTCGTGGCGGTCTCACCCTTGGGGGTCGAGAGCGCAGGACTGGTAATACAGGCAACCACGTGGGAGCCCGAATGTGGGTTCAATCATCTGTCAGGGGAACTGTTGGGGGGAAGGTTTGAGCGGCCCAAGATTGGCTGAGGCACGTGTCTCCACATCGCGCGAAAAGTGTAAGGCAGCGCAGTGAAGCGTCACGTCATACTGATGGGAAAGAACAATAATATTTCGCCGACAGGAGCATTGTTCCCCCCTCCCCTGAAAAAGAGAAAGAGAGAGAGAGGCCAGGGGAGGGGCACATTCAATAATTCTGGGGCTAGAACTAAACCTGCAAATATGATTCCTGAAAGACCGGCTGGGGTTCAGAAGTTGATGGATGTGTGCAGCCAAGTGTACTACCCCAACGTCGATTGCACCCGCAGGGGCAGGGTTCGCAGATGGACGCAGAAAATAGTCGCTAAGCCCAGCGAGCCGCCAGCAGTAATGGAGACCAGGGCCACAAGACGAAGCAGGATGGAGAACAGGACCCCCGGAGGAAACACAGCAATGCCAATACCGCTACTCTGAGGTCGGGCGTGTCCACCTACAGGCGGATTTTGGACGAAAAACTAAAAACACAATACAAATACTCAAAAATAATCAGAAAATGACCAAACAATCGTGCCGAGACTAATTGTTACTATCTTTGAATAATCCTCCTATAGAGGGACAGGCCCGACTTAATGCTGCTCCCGCGACCTCTCCAACCCCGGGGCGAGTGCAGGCGTGGTGACGAGGGGCCCCAGGGAGGCCCCAGCAAGCGGGAACGAGGGACCGTTCTCAGTACTACTGCACGCGTTTCTGCTCTGACGTTCTCCCCCCGACCTCCGATGCCCGCCAAGCCCTCGTGCATACCAAGGCAGGCATCAACTTAGCTCGGGCCTGTCCCCCTACAGGGGGATTTTGAACGAACAAATAAAAATACTCCAAACATGCTCCAGGCATGCTGAACATTAGTCAAACAATCGTCCCCGGACTATTGTTTACTATTTTTGAATATTCCTCCTGTAGATGGACAGGCCCGACTTAAAAATAAATTGCACCTTCACGTACGCATCGAAGCCCTGAGATGGTCGCGCTGGCCACTTCAAGGGGAAACGGGCCTCCTCAGCACTCATCGTTCGAAAGAAGTGGGTAGAGTTATGGAGTAGGCGGGCTCTGCAAGTAGATTGCGGTTCGGCCCGCCCCCGAATAAAGAATAATAGAATGGGTTAGGGCTCAAACTTTCAACGCCGCCTTTCAACGACCGCCAGGTAGTCCTCCTCCTCCACCTCCCCCTCCTCCTCTCATCCTCCTCCTCCTCGTCCTCCTCTAATCCTCCTCCTCCTTGGCAGTCCTGGAAGGGGCCAGGAGTTGCCCTCCTCCTCGCAGGGTCCACGCTAGATCAACGGCCCCGGCAAGAGAGCTTCACAAACACAATCCTTCCCCTCCATCTCGGCCCTGCTGCTCCCGTCTGCTCCGTCGAACTTCTATGTCAGCAAGGGTATCCCACTAAATACTCGTCGCCCGTGCTTCTGATACAGACGTGCCAGAGTCTGATGCCGCTCCCCCCGCACCCCAACGAGGCGCAAAGTTCTCGCAAGCTATTCACAAGGAAGCTTGAGAGTCGCGGCTCAACGGACGGACAAACGAAATCACCCATCCTGCCTGTCTCATCAAAGATTACGGCTTGTTCTCATGGGGTCTCATGTTCATCCTGATCGGTGTTCACTGCCTCACCCATCCCCGTGTATTGCATGTCATGTCTCTATATTAGTCAAACACTCGCGACCTTGTCGGACTACTGCGCCGCGATGCTGCCAAGTTGTGCCTGCTAGATCCTTCACAAGTGCGCTCCCTAATGCTAGTGCAGACGGACGACGGTTCGGAGAACTCGTTTGAAGCTCCGAGGAACACCATGGAGGCCAGCAGTAGCGGCAAGGCTGAGACTCTGAGGCCGAAAACCTTGGAATGCTCGCGTCGCTGCCTGGGATCCTCTCCTGAACTGTTTAAGCGATGGGATCGGTGTGGGCACGTCTTGCACTGGGGATGAAATCTGGCGACCAACTGTCCCCGTCCCTGTCTCCCCCTCCCTGGGATTCCAAAATCCCGTTTGAGGGGCGAGGGGGGGGGGAAGGGAGGTCGACAAACTCCCCAGCGTCTCCTGGGCCCTTCCGCGACCCAAAATGCCATCAAAACGGCTCCAAAGGGGCAAGACGGCTCCAAGTGACAACGCAGCCCCCAAAGGATTGCACCAGCTTTCCTCCTCCCCATCCTCCTCCTCCTCCTCCTCCTCCTCCTCCCTCCCTCCTCCTCCTCCTCCCTCCTCCTCCTCCTCCTCCTCCCCTTCCTCCTCCTCCTCCTCCTCCTCCTCCTCCTCTTCCTCCTCCTCCTCCTCCTCACCCATCCCCCACTCTTCGCTCCTGCCCCCCCCCCCTTCACTTTTGGTGGGGCCAATCTGCCACTGTTGACGCGGACGCGCAGTTGGATTGCAAATGTGCTGCGCTGGAGAATTGTGGGGGAGGACGCGGGGGGGGTCCTCCTCCTCCTCCTCCTCCTCCTCCTCCTCCTCCTCCTGTGTCCTTTCGGCGCGCGCCCCTCTGGCAGGAAGACCCTGTGCCCGTGTACGAGTTCGCAGTCATGTGTTGCACGCGAAAACCCAATAATACATTTGCGCCCCGGAATGTAATGCACGCCCCAGATGTATTGCAACCCCACAAATCTATTGCACCAAATCTATTGCAGCACCCCCTTGTCGCTGGACACCTTTTTGGGTCAACCCGATATCTGCCATGCCGAGTTCCAGTGAGGGGGCGTTCTGCAACATAGACAAAATACAGTGAAACCCGTTCACCCCCCAACGCGATTTCTATTGGGGGGGTCGGAGACCTTCGGCTGGGTTGGGTTGGGGCACACATCTATGGGACGCACAAGGTCATACTAGTACTACGCGTCCTCCTCGGAGGCGTGCGTCCGTCCCAGACATGTAGTACAACGATCTTGTAGTGCTTTCCCGAGCGGTCCGGTCAGAAAGCACCCTCCACGGATCATATTCTGTAAGATCACCCCTGGGGGGGCGACGCACAAAGAGCATTATCATGTCGGTATGATGCCGAATCTAAGTCACCTACCTTCGCGCATTGCGCCCCGCGATGCGCAACGCGCGATTATCTTCGCGCCATCGCGCCTTCGAGCCGCACTGGCCCAGACCGCGACTGCGGAGCGCGATGATCTTCGCACCCTCGCGGGTAACCTGGGATATCGTGGATTGTCCGCTGGCCACCTCACTGATCCTGGCAAGGCTCAGAAGGGGTATACATCGAGCTGGAGTCGGCGATACATCGCCGATAGATCGGCGATGGGCCTCCGAACCCAATTCAACACGTTCCTGGGCGGGGTGGGTGATCGGGCCTCCATTGGCGACCAGTGGGCCGATGCATACCCCCCTCAGCCTATCCACCCCGACTGCTGCCTCTGAGGATGGGCCCAGCCAGGATCGGGGCGGTGGTCAGTCCCCAACAGCCCGAGGATTGACTTCTTCAATTCGCGGCCCCAACAGGTCCCGATCCCCTCCCCAGGGATAGCTTGTCGCCCCGGATCCACCTCTGATGGCTCTAGAGGGCCCGCGAGCGGTCTCCGAGGCCGAAATCTAGGAGAAAAAAAAAAAAAAAACGCTGGACCAAAAAATCACACCGTCGGAGATCTGGGGCTCCCGCTTCAGAAAGGACAGACCGTCCCAGCATTCCTGTAGGCCTACCACGACGTGCTCTCAGAACCCCAGGATGTTTGAATAACAGCAGCAAAGCCCTTGGAACCCGAACCCGATGTGCGAAAACAGAACAGTCCCAGCCAGAAATGTTCTAAGAACGCTTCGTGGAAACCACAGAAAGGGTTCTCAAAACAAGGCTTGGCAGGCCCACAGGCACGCCGGGACGCTCCGCCACTGCTTGACACCGTGGCCCGAAGAAGGGCGCGCGCCCACAACTGTTTCCGGCGGAGCTCCTCGCTCCGGCCGGTGCCCGGCGCCAGAGCTGGGGACCGGCGCGCTGGCTCATGGGCAGACTCTCCCCGGGGATACGGCAAGCTCGCGCCGTGGCGGCCGGTCTCCCAAGGGCTCCCAACTGCGCGCTTCGCGCTGCGCGAAGCGCGAAGTGCGAACAACTTCGCGCTCTCGCGCCGCCTCCCAGGGGAGAAGAGGAGGATGAGGAGGAATCGGAGCCCAACCGCGAAGCGCGAATCACTTCGCGCCCTCGAGGGCGCCGCGCACACTCGCTCCAACAAATCGAAAGAGTTTCCCGGATTGAAGGGAACTCGTTTTCAAAATGTGGCTCCCGCCTTTGCGCCGCGTGCATTCGTTTTAAAGAATCACAAGAGCTTCACGGATTGAGGGCGGGTGGTTTCCAAAACGTTTCTCTCGCCCTAGCGCCGCGCACATTCGCTTTAACAAGTTGCAAGAGTTTCACGGATTGCCATGGTCAAAGTACCAGAAATCGCGTTCTTGATGGATTCTGGATTATGAGGATGCAACATATTGTGTTCGCTCGGGGTTTGGAAGTCCAAAGAATGGCTATCTGGCACGATTCCGGATCGTCAACACGCAACAGGAAGGTTGATCCGTGGCGTTAGAATCCCGAGAACAATGTTTTGGCATGCTTCAGGGTCTTCAAACGGCTGACTCCCAAAAAAGCAGTCCCCTCAATGGAAATAAGCCGCTGTAGGGGCCTCTGAAGAGGGAGCTTGGAGGGAGTCTGTATTCCAACATCGTTGATGACTGTTGGGTTTACACTGGTCCTCCTCCTCCTCCTCCTCCTCCTCCTCCCTTCGCCGCGTCGGCACGACACGAGCCGACCGCACCTGCTGAAGGAGAAGACGGGCGAGCGGGCGCATCCCCTGGCAGGGAAGTTGGCCCGGTCTGCCACGGGGCCAGCGCCAAACAATCGACCCACTCACGCGTTCAAGTAGGAAGTGGTGTCGATTTGGGCGGGCATGCTCTCGACGTTGACCTCAGCCGCTGAAGCTCTCACTCAGCGACGACATCGCCCGGGATGGGGACCGTGAAGAGAACAAACAAAAACACAAACACACACAGAGACACACACACACAACAGGTGCATGCGAGGCGAACGCGTGTCGCGTGACACAGACATGTACTTCAGCGCGTATATACGCATGAGCCAAAGGGGCAAGCGAAAAGTACGCTTGCAAGCTAGTGTCTCCACGAAGCGATGCAAGATAATGACCACGAGTGCAATTGTTGGAGGGATACTGCATGAGTCGCTGTCAAATCCCACCAGCCCTCTGTATGTGAATGGTTCAGAGCGCTTCCTCTTCCAAGAAACCTTTGTTCTGCTTCGGGGAGAGATTAATTACTGTTCCGTATGGACATACACCGTCTCCCCCATCCGACCGGCAAGAAACCGGAAACCGTGCCAACACCCCTCCACCATCCCTGACAACAAAAAACAACTAATTCAAAATGCATTACCTTACACCTCAAATCTGGATCGTGAGTCGACGCCCCGCGATCACTTTGCATGGGTTTTGCAAGGTCAGCGGGGATGCTGGCATACTGCCTGCCGTGTGCTTTGCCAACACCCCCCAGCATCCATTGCAACAAACTATACGGAATGCAATTTGCACCAAAATCTGGGGCCTGCACATTGCCTGCGGCGGGCAGGCCTACCACCCTTGTCAACAAAAAAACACTTTGCCGGGGACGGCGGGGGGGGGGTCGTCATACTGCGTGCTGTGTGCAATTCTATTACGTAAACCTGTCGAATACAAGTGCACAAAGTTATTGCGGGTGCACAACCACACTCAATACACAATGCTCGCACACCCTCTGACACTTCAAATTGGCTCTTGACAATGACGGTGGGGTAGTCGACATATTGCCCAATGTGGCGCACCTGGTGCGCGTGGCGCACCTGGCACGCACGGCGCTACCCGCGAAAATCGCGGACCTAGCTGGCGTCTGCATTGGTTCCCGTTGGTTGTCGATGGCGGCCCCTGTCTTGACTGAGACTCGGATGCTAATTCTGTAGTGGGACGGCCGGTGGGAGTGAGCGACACGGCTTCCGGCTCGGGTTAGCTTGACCCCTCCCCCGTATCCCCTCTCCTGGACCTGGACAGGGAAGGGCGGCGAGCGGTCAGAGCGTCCAAGATGGCACAAGATGGAAGCCACTAAGAGGCAAACATCCTTGAGCAACCTGTGAAAATTAATGCGTTTTGCCGTCTCACCTGTTCGCTTTCGACGGCCCTCCGAGGCCTCAAGGTGGCTACAAGAGGGCCAAAAAGAGTCCCAAGAGGAGCCCAAGAGAGTCTCAGGACGGCCAGAAGAGCAACCAAGAGCGCCCCAAGAGCGCTCCAACAGGGGTACAAGGAGCGGTGTTCGGAGCCCCAGAGAGGGACCACCCCCCTTTCTTTGATCGCAGTCCTCCACGATGGCCCCAAGATGACCCCCACGCTCCCAAGAGTGACCCGAGAGAGCCCCAAGAGATGCCCAGAAGGCCCCGAGAGGCTCCCAAGAGGCTCCCAAGAGGCTCCCAGGAGACCCCCAAGAGGCCCCCAGAGGCATCCCCTGAGGCACCCAAAGACGCCCCAAGAGTGCTCCAAGAAGCTCTCGAGAGGCATCCAGAGAGACTCTGAGAGGCATCCTGGAGGCCTCCGAGCTCCCTCTTCGCCCTCCTCCTCCTCCTCCTCCTCCTCCTCCTCCATCTCCTCTTTCTCATCCTCCTCCTCCTCCTCTTCCTCTTTCTCACCCTCCTCTTTCTCATCCGCCTGCTCCTCCTTCCTCCTCCCTCCTCCGCATCCCCTTCCCCTACCCTCCTCCTGCGATTCCTCCTCCATCATCCTTAGCCATTTGGGCTCAAGTTCCAAACCTTGCCCTGAGGCTTGGAGCTTGGTCACAGCCAAGGGGCAGGCTCGACTTGGTCGATAAGCGACCGCCGCGCGCGACCTGCTGGGGGATGGGTTATCTGGTGTGCTGAAGCTTGCCGCGATGCTGGGAAGGTCTCTTGGATACCCGACACCAACCCTCGGCAGAAGTGCGAAGTTTGCAAGCCCCTCTTTCCTGGCCGCTCCAGAGGAAAGGCTTCGGGGGGAAAGCCAAACAAGAATGGAGGACATGCCACAGGAGGTAATTCAGGAAGAGCAGATCCGCATTTGCCTGCTTCGCTCTCTGCTCCGGGCACTCCGACCTTTCGATCTCTCGATGAGCGTCTTGAAGCCCCGTTGGATGAGGAGGTTCAGGATCGTTCTAGAGAGGATTCAAGCGATGACGGTCTCGTTGATGGTGGCGGCAATTGTGCTTTTGGGCTGATTATCGTGACGATATGGACGACGACTACGATGATGACCGCGGCCTCGGCGTTGATGCTAGTGGTAAGGAGCTTTCGGTTGCGGACATTGATACTATCATCAAGTCTCTGCAGAGTCAGTTGGACGAATGGTGGGCTCTCCCGTCGCCCAGGTATGTGTCATCACGCATTTCAGGTCTCTGGGACGAGTTGCAGTCTCTTCGGGCTCAGAAGTCAGAGATGCTCACTATTCCCCAGAAGCGTGCGCTCTATAAGCAGCGTCATCATTGGGCCAGTACGAAGTTCGATAAGCTCACTGATCAGATTCGTGAGATTGATGCGTCCATCATGGACATGCAGGCTGATCGTGTCTCCCTGGTCACTAAGCAGCAGCAGACAGCCCTTGATATGGCCTCTTGGGAAGTTAAGCTTCAGAGTCTTCCTGCACCGGCGCCAGTATCTCAAGATTCGGACGGTGCCCCAGATCTTGCAGCACTCGCCGAGGTGTTCGCAGCCTCTTAGGTCATACAGAAAGGTAAGAAGTTCTCTCAGCTCCTCGGGCTCTGCTCCTCCAGGTCCCTCGAGGCCCGAGTCTGTTGAACCCGTTCGTGCCCAGCCCATGGCCGTTGACGCCACAAGAGAGCCGTCAAAAATTGGAGTTGGCCCTGGACGTACACCGTCCTTGCCACCACCGCCGAAACGTCCTGCTGCGCCGCCCCCCGATGTCACGGCCGCGGTTGATCAGTCGGAAGGAACACAACACATACGACTGCCGCCGAGACCGCCGACATCGCGAATGCTTCGGGTGCTGCCCCATCGGCCCCGTTGACGTATGATAGTCTCGCCCAGGAGAAAGGTCGGGGACGAGGCTGCACCCACCGATGGCGCTTCCCAGCCCTTCCGAAAAAAGTCCGTTCGGCGCCGAATGGAATTGCATTCGGCGAATCTCCGCGCAGGCGCCTGATGGGCTCTGATCTGCGTGAGTTAAGCGTGTAGTAAAACATTGCAAATAGTAGGTCGCGTCGCCGGGTGGACTCTCTTTTCGCCGGATGGACCTCCCTTTGCCGGATAGGCTCTGTTTTCTCGTCAAATGGATTTGTTGAGATGAGAAACCATTCGGCGCGCCGGACGGGCTCTAATAACAATCGGATGGGCTCTCTTCCAGCCGGATGGCATCCCGCCGGATGGGCTCCAATTCCGCCGGCTGGGCTCTGTGAGAAGGCCTCGCCGAATGGACCCTTTGGCATCCGAAGTGAGTTTTTTGTATATGAGAACAGCAATTCTCATGTTTGGAATGCCATCGCTCAAAACATCGCATCCTTATGCCAGCGCCTCTCGGGCGCACCTGGGCGCTCGGCGTTCCCGCGCATTCCTTCAGATCTCCCAGTTCGCACGGACTGTCACGTGTGTTTCGTCGTTGTTGTTTTGGCATGCCATTGGTATGCAATGTAGTCATGTGTGTGCTCGATGGGGGGGTCCCAAGCAAACGTGGAATGAATTCGCGCATTTCCCTCAGGAGCCGCGAAACATTCCCAAGGATCCCTAGGGATTCCCTGGGGATAACCCCCATCCCTCGCGCCAAGGACTCCTAAGGTTTCACTGGGGGTCCTGTCAAAGTTCCCCAAAGACCCCGAAGGTTCCTAAGGAATCCGCCCAAGATCCGCAAGGATTCCTAAGGTTTCCCTGCAGGAATCCGCGAAGGATCCCCAAGGGTCCTTAGGGTTTCTCGAGGGTGCCGCTCAGAATCTCGAGATATCCTTGGGGGGATCCGCTAAGGGGTACCAAGCTTCCTTACGGATCCGCTGAGGATCCCCGAGGATCCTTGAGATCCTTGGGGATCCCTAGAGTTTCCCTTGGAACCGCTAAGGATCCCTAGATCTTTACGATTGTCCTGGGCGGCGCGCTAAAGATCCCAAAGGATCCTAAGGCTTTCCTTAGGGAGCAGCGAAACATTCCCACGGATCCCCAGAGTTCCCTCGGGGTTTCGCTAAGGATCCCGAAAAGCCCGTGGGGCCCCTCTTGGATCCGCTAGGGATCCTCAATGATCCTAAGGATTGTCCTAGGGAGAAGGATCCTGAGGATCCGATGGGGCGGTGGCGTGGCGGGGCGGCGGGGCTGCGGGGTTGCGGAGCAGCGGGGTCTCGGGGCAGTGGCGTGAGGTCGCGGGTTCGTGGGGCGGCGGGGTGACGTGGCGGTGATGTGGTGGGCAGTGGGGTCGCGGGGTGGCGAGGACTTGTGGTCGCGGGATAGGGTCGCGGGGTGGCGCGGTGATAAAGTCGCGGGTGGCATGGGGTCGCGGGGGCATGGGGGCGCGGGGGCGCGGGGTCGAGGGGATGTGCAAGCAGCGCGCACAACGGGGCTATCCACCGAATGGACTCGGATGCTACGATGGTCATCTTGCCAGCCGGATGGGCTCTAAAGCCGCCGGATGAACTCTAACTTGGCGCCTGATGGACTCCAACGCCGCCAGATGGACTCTATCGGCTCGCCGGATGGATTCTGTTTTACGCCGGATGGACTCCTTTGTCGCCGGATGGGCTCTAATCTCGAGAGTCCATTCGGCGCCGGATGGACTGACTTTGTTGTTTTAGTCGGTTTGTGCAGCGTGACGGCCACGCCGAGTCAAAAAAAACCAACGCGCTACTCAGCACCACTCCGCGCCAGTCAGCGCCGCTCCGCGCCACTCAGCGCCACTCAACGCTACC